TATATGTATATATAGAGAGAGAGAGACGGTTGAGGCACGAGCTCGACGATCAGGGCAAGAACAAAGATGACAGCCGGCTTCGAGCTGCCGGTTTTGAAGTCGGCCAGAACGTGGTAAGGAAAAGTGATGCATCCATGGGGACGATCCAAACGATGACAGCTTCTGAGATCAAGCTTCAGGTCGAGGGGCAGGTTGTCACGGTGGCATCGGAGAGTTTTCTAGCAGGGGAGTGGCGAGCCTGCACGTCCAAGCAAGAGTCCATTGCTGTCGAGTTCACCGGTTCCCTGCCGGTAGACTCCTCAGAATTCCAGCTCGCAGAGTGCAAGGCAAGAATCCTTCATCAGATCCGTGCGGATGAGGATGCAGGGTCCGCGCACTACTCCAACCTCCAGCTTTTCCTGAAGCCAAACATGGTAAAAGCCGGCAAACGGTTTGAGAAGTCTGAGCTGGTTTTGATCCCCAGCACGCATCGCATCGATTTCAAGAAACCCGGGTCCGGAAGTGCCGGAGCCATCGTGGCAGGTCTCATCGACATCAAAGGGTGCACGTACGAAGTGTGCCTGTCCAGTTGCCTCTCTCAATCGCCGAATCAAGTGCTTCACCCGTTCTGGGTGATGAGAACGTCCGCCAATCTGGCGGAGTGTAATCTAGAGCTCCTGCCGCGGAACTGCTCGAGCAGGAAACTTAAGATGAACCGGGAGGCTACATGGCAGATTCCTTTCGCTCGGAATATGAAGGTTATCAATGAAGGAGACAGCCTGGTGCTGTTCAAGCCATCAACAGCTGCAAAGCCTGAGCCTTTGCTGCCCCAGGCCAAGAAAGCCCGGACTGCTTGAGTCCATCGTGCATATGTGCATTTAGATGATCTTTATATATATATATATGTACACATATATCTATACAGAGAATATGTGCGTAGATCACAAGATTCTTATGATTCTGCAGCGGAGAAAAGTTTTTCAAGTCGGGCAGAGCATGTGGGCTCGCCTGACCACGGGCAGGGATGTATTCTCGCCTGTGACATGATTCACGGAGCAGCAGCGGAGTTGGGTTTTTCAAGTCGGGCAGAGCATGTGGGCTCGCCGGCATGACCACGGGCAGAGATGTATATGATTCGCGGAGCAGGAGCATGAACCAGATTTTGGATAAAAAGGCAATGTTTGCACATGCTTGTAGAATGCAAGCAGATTCACAGAAGGATTCCGGGACAGAGTGCACGTTTTGGAGTTGTTTCGCTGGCCGCCTGCAGGGCTATAAGGCTCGCAGACAGCGATTCAAGACCGGATTTCCGTGCTCATCTCTTGACATATAGCGCCGATGGCAAAGCCGTGCCGAATGCAGCAGGTCTGGTCGATCACAGGGGGGATGTTGAAAAAAAAAATGAAGTGGCTCGTGAAGACGAAAGAGGTGGACGACAGGCTCTTCGTCCAGGTCGACAAGTGGGACCGTTCTTTCATCCAGTTTGTTACAGGCCAACCCCTTGAACTCAGGAAGGAGAAGGACTCGTCCATGTGCAGCTTCATATATAATGTGAAAGACAAATTCATGTATACATAACATCTACAGAGCCCCGAGTTTCGAAGGTTCATGGCGAGCATATGCATGTATGTATATATAACAGATGGCTATAGATGTTCAATTGCATGCATGTACTGACTTATGTAAGGATTCTCGGGGATTCGAATCCAGGATCCACATCACCTCAGCATCCCGGCCTTCCAAGACTTCCTAGACATGCGCAAGACGGCCTGCGATGAGTTGTACAACCAAACCATTCGCGACGCCGCAGCGGTCGCAGGAGACCCTGAACCTCGAACCCGGAATGCCCGAGAGGAAGACTTGTACGTTGCCGGACGCATCGTCGAGATGGCTTGCAAAGAAATCACCTTTGACAGCCAGACCCTCCCGGCTCAGAAGATTGCCGCATTGTGGTCTGTCAAAGATCCCGTGATCTGGGTTGAACTATCCAGCGAAAACCTAGACTACATCGGGTTGTTCATGCGACGGGGTTTGGCCGAGTATCGCGAGAGCAACGCACAATCCCGTCGCCGCAAGAAGCTTCGGGCGGACGCCGATGCCGTGGTTAAGTCATCACCGAAAAGGAAGAGACGACGTGAGCGCAAGCGCAAGGCAGCACCTGTTGATGAGGAAGAAGAAGAACCGATCCAGGAAGAGATCCACGAAGAGAGCTCTCCTGTCATCTTCCCGTTGGAAGAGCATTCCGAGGACTTGGGGGACCCAGTCGCGGATCTTTTGGCATCCTAGGCGAGTCTTTGAAGGCGACCGAAATCGCAGATCATGCGTCTTGCGTTTGCCGACCACAAATGTACGCAGGGGGGACGCGGTGCTTGTTCACGCGTTTGTTTGTCTCTCTCTCTCTCTCTCTCTCTCTCTATCTCTCTCTCTGTCTCTCATGTCATGTCTCTGTCTATATATATATATATATTTTTTTTTATTTCTTTTATGCAGATGTTCATAGATATATGTACGTATATATGTATGACTCCATGTTCATGCATGCACATATGTAAAAAAACTATATGCTAGTATTGTTCGCATTTTCTTGTGTGTATATGCACGTATATACTGAAGCATATAGACACATTCAGCAAACGTCGCCCATGCATTCTATGTATTTGCATATATACAGCTCATGTATATATGTAAATATGTATGTATATATATATATATATATGCCAGTGGTTGATGCCGAGGGTGGGGGCACACTGTCGAAAAAGAACAGCTCCATGCATATATGGATCGTTCACACGTATATAGTGCTGTTTCCAAGCATCCAGCCGCGTATCTGTTTTCTAACTTCGCGAATGGTGCATGCGTGCCTTATAATAGTGCGTGGGTTCATGCCGTACTTTGATCTGTCAACTTGGGATGTGTTCGTTTCTTAGCCAGCAAAACTTGCTGTTTGTGTTATATAGCAGGAGCAACAACGAACAGGCACAGGCAGTCATTCAGAATTAGGTGCATTCATTTCTGCTTCAAGCGTCTGCTGATTGCATGTTTGTGCTCCTTTTTGTGCTGGACGACTCGCCGCTTGTTCCGTGCATGCCGAGGAAGCTGCAGACATGTAATCATGGAGCATGACTTGCAGGCCTCATGCGAGCAGATGTAGGCAGCAGCCCGTTTGGGATTGTAGGCAGCAGCCTGTTTGGGATTGTAGGCAGCAGCACATTTGGACTTGAACATTGGCTCTTCCATGTTGCCCTTGCAAAGTCTGCATCAGCTGCATAAAGCAACGGCTGCCACCTGTGAGCCCATGTCCTGCAAGATGGAGGACGACGCCTGTGACACGGTTGTCGTTGAAGCGGAGGTGGGCGATGGTGTCCCATCGCATGGGCTACAGACGGTCTCCGATCTCGGGGGGGAAGCATTCGACTGGGACGAAGCCGACGGGCAACCGGATCAGAAGGACCGGGTTGATGTTGAGCGAGCAGTTAATTGTCGTGTCCGCTTGAGCAGCGCATGCGTGCAGGATCACGATTGGTGGAAGCACGAGGATCCGGACGAGTGGAAGGAGGAGGCCAGTTTATGCAGTTCACATCTACAAAGACGTAGTCCCTATGCTTTCGTGCAACAACTTACAACTGCAGTTTATGTAGAACCCCAAGAGACACATGTGTATGTATGTAGTCCTTCTGCATATGTTGTCTGTGTGGTATATATTTGTGATATATATATATATATAGTATATATATATATATAGCACTATATATACCTGCCTGTTTGTATACTATGTATATACAGTCGATATACACGTAAGCCTTATGAACCCTATATGTATATATATACAGACCCATACAAGCCCTATATATATATAGAAACGCTATACAGACCCAATGAGGTCAAGGAGGAGTGGGACGACAAGAACACATGGTCATGGTGGCCAAAGCAGGAGAAGGCCTGCACAGGGGTTATAGAGGGTTGGGGGATGTAGTACATGGTTATTTTATATAGACTTATACGTACTATAACTCCAATATATATATATATATATATGTATCTATGCACATAAGAACTAGGAAGGTTGGGGGATTTAGTACATGGTTATTATATAGACTTATATAAGTACTATAACCCCAATTATAGGGTATACCTTTTAGTATACCCAGCCTTTATACGTGTATACTTATTACCGACTTACTATGTCTCCCGACCCTCCTAGAATATATCTATATATATATATATTTATGTTTATACGGATAACGACCGCGGGTTATGATGATGGAAGTGCCTTGCCGGTAAACACTACATACTATAACCCGACCTTTTAATAGAAGCCCTAAAACCAGGTGAAGGAGGAGAAGTCCCAAGACCATGGGTATTGGCCCCACCAGAGTGGGGGATGGGCCGTGCAAAAGTCCGACTGGAATGGCAAGGCATATTACAAGCGTGCCGCAGATTCCACGTTGCCCAACCCGAAGCGCTGCAAGCACGGCTGGACCAAGTGGGAAGACGACGACGAGTCGACACGTGCGGGGTCGCTTCACTAAAGTTATAATAATTGTATATGTGTGTATAGCGCATATATATATATATATGAGCCCG